TGGAGAACTGTTGAGGTTCCTGGATATTTGTAACATCTCAATCAGATCTCGTAGTCTGCGTCTTTCGAGGGAGAAGAGTTATAGTGCTAACAGCCTTTCTCTTTAGCTCAGCTGCTTCATTCCCCATACCATTCTGATAGAGAGCTTTTGGACTTGTTCCAGTCTCCGGATATCCTTACGGAGAAATAAGACCAACGCTTGAACACAGTTTCCAAGGTGTGGACGGACGGAGACTGCATATAACGGGATGATGATTTCGGCGCTTCTGTTTGTTATNNNGGCGATTTTAAGACAGAATTATGCTTTACGGGTTTTCACAACTGTTGCGTCGCATGCTGCAGACGGCGTGAACTTGAGTGTTACCCTAACCCCTAGGTCCGTCGTACTGCTCTTCGACTGCAGGGGTTCCGGAATTCCAAGAGGGTTGGTGACGAATATTGAAGGATCTGCGATGCATGAAAGCATGTGGCTTTTCAGAGCGTTGAGAGGTAGATCCCACTTAGCTGAACATTCACATATTTTGTGGACGTCAGCTTTGATGGTGTCCAGTTGGCTAATGTTTCCCACCTACTTAACGTCGTCAGCATAGAAGAAACAAGGATTTTCAAGGCCTTCAGTCATATCGTTCACGAAAAAGAGAAAGAGTAGAGGTGCAGGTATGCGGCCTTGGAGCACTGCGCCGGTGGGAAGCCAGCGTCCGAGTGAGCCTCTCGGACTTTGACGATGAATGAACGACAGGAGAGGAGGTTTTCTATCCAGCCGCACATAGCCTTAAAGATTCCTGCTTTTCTAAGTTTAAAGCTCAATGGTCGGTCGTTCACGAAGGCTTTTTGGAAATCTAAATAACATACTTCGACCTGGATGCCTTTGTTCAGTCTGTTGTGATAACGCCCAGGAAAGCGAGGAGATGTAAGAGGCAGGATTTGCTTTTTAAGAATCCGTGCTGCGCGTCACTAAAGAAGCCTTTGTTGAAAAGAAAGGAGTAATAATGTCGCGCAGGATGCGCTCAAGCGTTTAGTTATCATACTGGTTAGGCTAATAGGCCTATAGTTTGATATACTGATCCTACCTTCGTATTTCAAAGGGGGAATTATTGTTTTTTTTCAGTCTGAAGTTATGGTGCCAACGGAGAGGGACATATTGGAGAAGGAGGCTACATCAGGGTTTGGTAAGGAGCTGAGGTGGCTGATGATGAAAGGATGGAAACCATCAGGACTGGAGGATTTGTTCGGATTGAGGTTGGGTAAAGCCCTCTAAGGTAATAAAGACCTCAGACACCAAATCGGCTGGAAGAGAGTTTTATTGGTTGGTTGCCCTGCGCGATAGTCAGTACCTAAGAGTTAATCCTATTGACGGAAGCTTCAGCAACCTACGTTTGTGTCCACAAGTCCTGCTCTGCTCCCGCAAAGGGAATTATTCCATTAGCTCTGGGCCCATGTCACCGCATAGAACATGTCGTACACATATGATGTCGCCCCTTACCCACCGATATGACTATGGGAACAATCCAGTGGCATGAAATCGCTCAGTGTGCCAACGCCCACGTAACCCGGCAATCATGCGAGTGGCGGCTCGTTGGACCATTTCCAGCTTCAAAACTTCGGCAATTGTACACGGATATACCGCGACGCTCGCGAACTCCAAGCGAAGTCTGATATGGGAGGTGTACAGCGCCCTGAAACCGTCGTACGAGAGTTTGGAAAAAGAACGGCGAACGGCTCCAAGGATTCTCCAGCTCAAGGCGCAGGCTTTGACTGTCTGCTCCCTGGTTTTAATTGACGTGGAATCCAGTACCCCGAGATCCCGTTCGCATGCGGATCCCAGTAAGGGAGTGTCCATAAGGTGATACACTATTGGACTGGGCTACTAGCCAACAGACATAATGGCACCTTCTAGGGTTGACGGGTAAACTCCACGCTCGCGACCAGTGCATCAAAGAATCCAGGTCTCTCTGCAGGGTGTTCACATCACTTTCTGACGGGATAGGTCTCCAAACCTCCAGATCATCCGCGTACAACAGACATTCCGATCCCAGGCAGTCTGGCAAGTCATTGGTAAAAAGCAGAAGCAGTATTGGCTCCAGTACAGATCCTTGCGGAACACCAATAGAAACCGTCAACCATGATGGTCGTGTCTTTGACGCTTTAACCGAAAATAGTCTGTCCCTTTAGAAAGTCATCAACCGAGGAAAGCAGCAGGTCCTGAATGCCCATCGACCTCAACTTCACCAGTAATTTCGAATGAGACACCTTGTCAAACGCTTTGCTGAAATCCACGAACACAACATCCGTGGAATAACCATCAGCCTTAAGCTCCGTTCCATGCTCACGCGCAAACAGGAGATTGGAGTAACTGGAGCGGTCCTGTTGGAAGCCATGTTGTCGAGAAAAAATACAATTTTGCGCCTCCAGGTAACTGATAATGTGGCACGGACGCTCATATATGTGGTGCTGGCCGAGGCCCGTAAAGTGAGAAACGAACCCGAATCGTTGGTGTGACTGGTAATGAAGATATAAAACTGCTTCATTGCCCTAAAAAGAGTTACGAAGCAGACTCGAATGCACTATACACACTAGAAGCTATAGTACGATGCTGGCTGACATGCAACAGCGATGGGCGAAGGAGGCGGTAGTTATCGGTCGTTTAGCCAGGGAAACGAACTTCACGGAGCTGACGGAATTCATCGTAACCCTACCATGGTCGCCAGTAGTCACTTCGAACATCTCACTAAAATGAGTAGTCGAGAAGAGAGACACCACGCCAAAGAACGAACCTACGGTATCCCGAGAAGCTCTAGAAATGCAAACAATTATGCAACGTTGGGAAACGTGGCGGACCTAGATCCCTTATGTCGTTCGAGTCACGAGCTACCCGCATGTGAGAAGTTTGTGCAACTGATGTTCCTGACCGTTGGGAAGCAGCCAGCATCGCGTGTGCTTTATCTGTTTGAGCGGCTCACATCGCACGGCTACTTGGAGGAACCAAAGCAGATGCAGGGAAAAGGGGTGTCAAAGAAGCTACCATACCCTCCGGCATTCTACACGAGAAACGCGGCTACCGGCAGCCCCAAAACCAAACGTATGTCTACTATCGCAATCAACTGGCAAAGTGCGTCTCGAAGTAACAACAGTGGGCATAATAACTCCTAAGGGGGTAGTAAAAGAGATGGCATTTAGTAACAATGGATCCGATACCACTCTAATCACCAAACGTTTCGCCGTGAAGAACCATATCGCAACCAGAACATCTTCCTTGACGATCAGCAAGTTGAACGGTACCAAGGCTTCTTCTGCCGATCAAAAGAGCGTGACATTTGTGTCGCTAGACAGTGGAGAACGTGTAGAGGTGACAGAGGCTTTCACTAAATCCGACTTGCCGATGAGAGCAGTGGAATCAATCAGGGAACTAGCAACGCGCTGGCCACACCTGAGAAATTTACATTTCGAAGAAGCCGACTCTGCCGAGGTTGATTTAATACTACTACTATTACTAATAATAATTGTATATTTCACGGAGCCTCGTGAAGCATGCATAGGCATGATCAAATGTACAGCATAATCATCCGTATAGGAGAAACCCAAAAGGAAACATTTGAAGGTCTCAGTGAACGTAATTACAAATGGAACACAAAGTGGATAAGGTATCAGAGAGAAAGGTTCGGGATGGCGGAATGCTCTAAAAGAGGAAGTCAGTGGAAGTATGACGAAAAACATTATACCGGATGAATGATGAGATGACTAGAAATAAGGCAATCAGTGAGTAAAGTATCAAGAGGCGGCCCGCAGATCGTTGGACAAGAATGGACGGAAACCAACACAAGAGCGGATAGGGTGAAGCAGAACAGAGTTAAACTGTCATAGATTATTTATGCACTGCACGTAGTGAAACAGATACGTTCTGCAGGGTCTTGATCAACAGTCTCAGGGGCTCCAATTAGCAATGGATTTATTTGGGTTATTTACGTTATTTAGGCGTTGGTCGCTTTGCTGGGAGTACGTCAACCAATTCGCACTTGAGTGACGCGTAGCCGAACCGATACGAATCCCG